TGGTGTAACAACAGTAGTAACATAACTACCAACAAAGAGAAAACATGTCTTCTATTAAACTCACTCACAAGGAAGGGCATTCAGCTCTAAAGAGGGAGTTCAGTTAATACTAACTAACAACTACATAAGGATAGAGATTATCCTCTCCTGTGCCTGTCTTACCTGGAGCAATTCCAGGGTAGAGGCCTGGCTCTTCTCCCCAACTTCTAACATGAGATTCTTCAAAGAAGCGATTGTTTCATTGAGCCTTAACATGTTATCCTTCAGTTTACTCTTTGTCTCTTCTTCTTCTTCACTCAGTCTCTGAAGAAAGAGTAGCTCTTCTTCAGCCAGGAACTGGTGCAGCTTTGAAAACTCTGTACTGATTCTTGTTCGCTGATTCTTTATCTGCACCTGTGGCCATATGACATTTGCTCATTCCTTGTTTGCCTGGCCCACGCTTCTAAATTCCTCGCATGTGACTCCCCAACAACCTGTGGTCCTTTCCATTCTAAACAACTCCTCTAGAAAAGCTCCTGTCTACCCTAATACAAATTTCCATTACTTCTCCATCTACACTTACATGATATCCTTGTACTAGTCATTATAACATTCATCCATTCTTCCTAACATTTGAGTCTCTACTACTGACAGCAATCCTTTGGATACTTTTTAAACTAAAACACACTTTTCACATTTACCATTTAAGTTAGTCCTCAGAACACCTGTTTAGTTTTGTTAAATCTTTAGAAGTGAGTGTGCATGCCTAATACCTCCCAAGAAGACTTGCCTCCTTTTCTAAAAGCAAAGTCCATTCATCCGTTTCTTTCTACAATGCCATGGACCCAAACCAACTCCAACCTAGAGAGTATATTTAGGAAAAAGTAGTAAGGAGAGGGGCACAGAGCACTACTTTAATGTAGAGATGGGGGATGAAATGTGTGGAATTCATACTGCCCAAAGCCACAAATCAGTAAGGACAAATACTTCCTCTTCTATCATCATATCTGCAAAAGGTCCCGACATCTGATGATACCCTGGAACCTCTTTCCCACAAAACTCCATAAGCAGCGCCAGAGAAAAAGGGCCTCAAGAACAAGAAATGCCCAACAGCTCCTGCTTTTACCTTCCACTTTGTAGTATTCTTCATTTCTGTCTCCTGTAACTGCATGGCTTTCTTCATCTTGGCCGTGAGACTACATTGAGACATAAGAAGTTTCTCCTGCCAGCAGAAATACACATCGATAAGAAATCGCCTAAGCATTTAGAAAAAGCTAAATTTCATCTAATCAAAATGGAAATGAGATAAGAAAATACTGAAGACAATCATAGGCCTATCGTTAAGAACTATTCTGATCTGTAATCATCACTAGACTATACTGAGTTTTCCTAGTAAGCTGGCAAAAATTAAAAATTGTTAGAGCACTGGTTCTCAACTTTCCTAATAATGCCGGAATATATTTTCATTGTTAAAAAGGAGTTGCAACCCACAGGGTGAGAACCGCAGTGTTAGAGGATTAAAAAATCTATCACTGGCAAGGAAGAAGGCTTCTGACACCACGATAGAAGAAAAGGTCAGGTGCCAACTTTCTGAGGGACAACCAGCAGGATTTAACAAAATGTAAAATATACATAATCCTACTTTTAATGATCTATCCAATGAAACATTAACAAAAGTAATCAATATTTAAAGAAATGTTCACTACAGCATTATTCATCATCTACCAATGGGGAAATATTAAATAAATTATACAAACTGATAACTCTGTATCTACTTCAGGGAGCTCTCTATAGATTGACATGAAATACATGTTATGTTTAAAATAAGCTATAAAACAATATGTATTGTATAATTCTGTTTTCAATAAATGTGTGACTGTGCATGTGTGTTTATGCGTGTGTGTGTGAATAGAAGAGAAATCTGGAAGGATATGCACCTAAGTATTAACATTGGTTATTTATGGAGACTAAGTAGCTTGAAAGTTATGGGAGGGGACTAGAAATTTTATAAATATGTTTTATTTAAATTCTATAAGAGGCACATACCATTTTTGTGATTTAAAAACACAAACAAGTTATTAAAAAATAAGGCAAGACAATCAACATTAACAAAGTAGGCTGTGGAGGAGCAGCCCCCAATAGCAGAAGGTCAGAAAATGGTGACAGAGAAGTAGACACACAAGAGGGAAACTAACAGGAGCTGACAACCAATCACTATTGGAAGAAGGAGTCCGAACTTAGCCCCCACAATCTGATCTGAGTAACTAGATGGATTACAGATTATTTATCTAGTTAAAAAATATAGGAAGATGAGCAACATATAAATAGAAAGAAAGAAAATCAATCTGATTTAACAAATTGAGCTTGAGACACCTGTGGGACATCAAAGCGGATGTGTCAGGGGTTAAGAGTCAAGAAAGAGATCTGTGCTACATAAGCAGATAGTTTAAAGCACAGATGGCAGTTGAAGCCATGAGTATGAGTAAAATTACCCAGTAAGATTCTAGAGTAAGAAAATAATAAAGGCTAGAACTGGGAACAACTATATGTAAGGGGTATGCTAAGAATGAAAATCCTGCAAAGGAACTAAGATTGGCAGTTGGTAAAAAACCAAGAGCAACAGTTTCTTACATACCAAAGGAAGAGAAATTTAAATTAAAAAACAAGTGAATAATGTCAAATGTTGAAGAATGGCCTCGAGCAACTTGTTTTAAGTCTGAATATATGTCAAAATAAAAACCTAAAAGGAAAAAATAAAGAAATGAATGCAACTAAGAAATAAGCTATACAAAATTTTTTTAAACTCTTCTCTAGGAGAATAATAAAAATAGGTATAACCTTCATTCCAATCATTTACAAATGACAATGGCTAAAATAAAGTTAAATAATTTAAAAGACTGACAACAGGCTCAGCACCTATGGCTCAAGCGGCTAAGACGCCAGCCACATACACTTAAGCTGGCGGGTTCGAATCCAGCCAGGCCTGCCAAACAACGTCAGCTGCAACCAAAAAATAGCCAAGCGTTGTGATGGGCGCCTGTAGTCCAGCTACTTGGAAGGCAGAGGCAGGAGAATCACTTGAGCCGAGGAGTTGGAGGTTGCTGTGAGTTATGAGGCCACAGCACTCTACCCAGGGTGACAGGCTCTGTCTCAAAGAAAAATAATAATAAATTAAAAATATAAATAAAAGACTGACAACAGCAAAGTTGACAAGGATGCGGAGCAACCAGAACCAAGATTGGCAAGAATGTTGGTGGGTGTGTGAAATGTCACAACCATTTCAGAACATCCAGCATAAAACTAAACTTACATTAATCCTATGGTACAGCAATTCTACTTCTGGACCCAGAAAAAATGAAAATGTGTCCACAAATAGGCCTATACAAGAATATTCACAGCAGCTTTATTCATAGTAGCCAGAAGCTGGAAACAGCCCAGGTATCCACTAACATTAAGATAGACTAACTGGTATGTTCATATAATGGAATATGTGTACTATTCAGCAATAAAAAGCACCAAGCTACCAACACACACAAAACAGATAAATCCAAGAATCAGCATACTAACCAAAAGGATCCTACAAAAAGTACAGACCACATAATTCCATTTACATGAAGTTCTGGAACAAGCAAAAATAATCTGTGCTGAAAAAAAAAGTCAGAACAATGGTTACACTGATTAAAGGGCAAGAACAGAGAATAAATGGGAAAGGGCATGAATAAAATCTTTGGGGTGATGGTAATGTTCTTTATCTTAAGAAGAGCTTAGTTTATCCAGGTATGTGCATTTATCAAAGCTTAGCAAATGTACACTTGGGATTTGTGTATTTCATTGTATTAAATTTTACCTCAAAAAATACCATAAACAAAAGTTAAATCTGGTTAATAATACACATTCTGAAGTATTTTGTTTGCATCTGAATTTTTAAAACTTCAAATGGAAATAAAAATTGATGGATACAGACAGGGATACAGACAGTTATATGATAAACAAGTAGAATAAAAGGATAATGGTAAGAAGCTAGATGTGGAGTTACTGGTGTTATAAAATTCTTCTAACTTTGATGTATGCTTCAAAATTTCATGGTGAAATGAAATAGGAAAAAATAAAATTAGGTTATAAAAGGAATTTATACAGTTATGGTAAATGGCACAATAGCACCTGTGCTATTTTCTTTCTACCATGTTTCCTAACATTATGTAATTTACTATTCTTTTTTTTTAAATAAGTGTCTCAATACTTATTATTAATGGTTAACTAAAACAGACATATAACCCTGTGACTCAGTAAGCTATCTCATGTAATTTTACCATTATGCATTTTTTAATAACTGCCACTTTGTAATCATGTGAAATCTGATCTATATGAGGCTTGCGATAAGATACTTAACTCCTTTAAATATGACCAAGAGTTTCTGAAATTTTTCACTTTTGTATAATGAAAAAAATAGATTTTCAATTTTTAAAAAAGCTTTTTAACAATTTCCGTGTACGTGAATTATCACGAATGAGTCTATTATTTAAGATTCTTCCTAAGTCTTTGAATCCTGGCACAGTTGGGATCTAAACTGGGACTTGAGTCAATTTGGCAACACTTTGGGGAAAATTAGAGAACACCTTCCTGCATAAACAGAAAAACTGCTACACAGTGGCAGGAAGGAAACAGCAAGCATTTCAAAGCTGAGTTAAGAGTAACAGAAGTTTAAAAAAAATCACTTTCTCTTCATTTAATGTCAGAAAATTGTATGTATATAAAAACATTAAGTATTAAAAGTAATAAAAAGCATACACCTATAGAATGAAGATATTTACTCATTGGGATCATGTAGTTCAAACAATACTAAGTTTCATAAAGAAGATCTAAGTTTCAGTACAGAGTTAGAGCTTCAAACTAGCTGTGCCTCACACATTTCATAGGTCACAGCTTCCTTAGCTAAAAAATGAAGATGACTACTAAATGTCTCTTAGACACCATCCCAGCTCTTCAGTTCTGTGAATTTTAGTTATTGTAACCTCTGCAATCAATCCAGGCAGGTAGGTCTACCTCTGAAATAAACCTCAAATCTGCCTACGTGCCATCCCCACTGTCACTACCTAGTTTAAGCACAATCATCTCTTTGTCTAGACTCCTACAGTAACCTCCTGATTACTCTCCCTTCTTGCAGCCTTATCCTTGTCTCGTCCAATATCCACAGAGTAGCCACAGTAATCCTTCTTTAAAAAATCAATCAGATCTTATAACTCCCCTCCTAAAGAGTCTTCACTGGCTTCCTTCCTCACCCAGAAAATTTAATCATCTTATTATGGCCTGATATAACCCAGAACTGGCCTACATCTTATTCTACTTTTCCCTTTGTTCAGGATGCTCCACGTGCACAGGCCTTCTTTCAGTTCCTTAAACATAAGCATCTCTCCCCAGTCTTAGGGTTTTTGCATCTGCTAGCCACTTCCTGACAGGTGTTCCAAAATGATCACAGAATTTTCTCTCCTAAGCCTACTCTTCTGAAGCAGAAATCTGGACTACAATCCATGATTCCTCTTACCCATCAAGTCTAATTAGTCATTGACCCATTTAACTCAAGCTGATGATCATTCCATATCACCTCTTTTCTTTCACCCCTCTCTGCACTAATTCAAGCCCTTATTACCTCTAGCTTAAAATGACACAACAGTAGCCTAACTTGGGGCAGCACCTGTGGCTCAAGGAGGAGGGCACTGGCCCCACATGCTGGAGGTGATGGGTGCAAACCTGGCCCTGGCCAAAAAAAAAAAAAAAAAACAGAAACCAAATTGGTCTTCTGCACTTATGCATATGGATACCAAAGTAATGTTTCTAAAAGAAACCAAACAAAAAAAAAAAAAAGATCCTATCTTTCTCTGCGGACTCAGCATTGCCTCAAAGAGGAAACGTTCAATCTGTTTTAGTTCACAAACAAGATACTTTGTAACAAGGTGCTTCCTCTTTCTTTCTTTTTTTTTTTTTTTTTTTTTTGAGATAGAGACTTACTTTGTCACTCTTTATAGGGCAGTCCTAACTCCCAGCAAACCTCAAACTCCTGGACTCAAGTGCTCTTGCTCAGGCTGGTCTCAACTCCTGAGCTCAGGCAATCCACCCACCTTGGCTTCCCAGAGTGCTAGGATTACAGGTGTGAGCCACTATACCCAGCCTTTGCTTCCTCCTTCTTCAGCATCAAGCCCCACCACTCTCCCATGCTCCACACTCTAGTAGTACTGAGCCAGCTCCCATTTTCTCACACAGCACATGCTATTCGATACCACATTTTGAATAAACTGTTCCTTTGGCCTAAAATACCTCCTCCCCTACCTGTACTCACCTTTCAAGAGCTAACACCTCGGCTCCGGGCCTGTGGCTCAAATGGCTAAGACGCCAGCCACCTACACCTAAGTTGGCGGGTTCGAATCCAGCCTGGGAGCGCCAAACAACAATACCGGCTGCAACCAAAAAATAGCCAGGCATTATGGCGGGCACCTGTAATCCCAGCTACTTGGGAGGTGGAGGCAGGAGACTCACTTGAGCCCATGAGTTGGAGGTTGCTGTGAGCTGTGATGTCATAGCACTCTACCCAGGTGGACAGCTTGAGGCTCTGTCTCAAAAAAAAAAAGAGCTAACACCTCTGTGGAAGCTTTCCTCTCTTGTCACTGACCACTGTGACCTAAGACCTTCCATATACTTTGTAAATACAAAGAAATTCGTATTTTCTCAGGAGAGAAAATTCTGTGCTCAACAACTCTCACACATGCTTAAATGAAGTCTATAGGCTTGTGCCCCTCATAAGACAAGACCCGTGTCTTTCTTATCCATTAATGCCCAGATTTCCAGAACAATGTTTCCACGTGGTCAGCATCAATAAAGGTGACTGAATAAAAGGATGAATGTACACTTTCTAGACTGGCTTTGCATCTGTTCACAGTCAGCTGGTAAAATTGTACAGCATATTACAGTTTACAAAACATTTTCAATCTGTCATTAAATTCACGTATTTGTGTACTTACTGAATTACCAATTCTGTTGGAGACCACTGGAGTTACACCGTCAGTAATGGAAGGGAGTGGGGCTACTCTGGAAAGGATGATCAAAAGAAGGTCTTCAAGCTAAAAGCTAAAAGAATCTGAAGGATGGAAGATGTGGGTAAAGAGAACAGACTTGAAACAAAAGCAGGAAAGCCAGTGTGGCTGAAGCAGAGTAAGGTAAATCAGTAAGGTAAACTGACTTATTCAACTGAAGCTTCTTAATCCCTCAAATAGGACAGATAATCCCCAAATTCAAATGTTAAGTGATTTTTCTCAAATGTTAAAGGAAGCTAGTAACAAAATCCAGCCTCATCATTCCAAGCCATTCCTTGGTTTTTCCCAAGTCACGTCTGAGTGCACTGGTATAGACCTGCACTGTCCAATACAACATCCATCAGCCACACAAGCACTTGAATTGTAGACAGTCCAAAATAATATGTGCTGTAAATGTAAAATGCACATCAATTTCAAGGACCTGTTATTTTAAAAACTATGTAAAATATCTTATTGATAATTCTCATATGGATTAACACTGCATGATTATTTTGGATAACTGAATTAAATAGAATATATTATTAAAATTAACATTGTTACTTGTTACTAGTAGGAAAATTTCAAATTACATATGTGGTTCACATCACGTTCCTATTGGACAGCACCGGTACACACCTCTCGTGTTTTTGTCTTAGAGAGGAGTTCCCCAGGGATTCCCTTGAAAATTGTGCAGAATGAATGTGGAGACATGCACCACCCCTCCCCTAAGCTCAGAAGCAACCCCAGCTCTGAGATTCGTGTGTCCATTAACTTCTCTGAGTTTGAGAGCGGGGGATTTCATGCTTCCAGTGGGAATGACAGCCACTTCATGGACCTTTTACGAGAAGTAAGCGTTCTCAGACAGTATCGACAACCCAATAACAGTAGCCGCGACTGCAAGCTCACCCGGTAGCTTACGGAGGCCTCGTCGACGGGAGCCATGACGTGGGCCTGGTGTTCCTGGGACTCCCTGCACACCAAGCACACTGGCCGCTGATCGTCCTCGCAGAAGAGCCGCAGCGGCTCCCGGTGGTGTCTGCACAGGCCTGAGGGCACCGGGAGCTGGCAGCGGCGCCGCGTCCTATCCGTCAACCTGGCCAGCGCCCAGTTGGGCCGCAGCGCGCCGGGCCCCGACGGCTGCCTACACTCGGGGCAAGAGAAAGAGCAGCTGCTTTGAGCCCAGCTGCGGCGCAAGCAGGCGCGGCAGAAGTTGTGGCCGCATTCGATGGACACCGGGTCCTCAAAATAGTCCAGGCAGATGGAGCAGGTCAGTTCCTCCCGGAGGTCCTCGGCTTCCATGCCGCTTCTCTGCTGCAGACCCAAAGTCCGACCTGAAGTGCCAAAAGGGCCCACAGGGTGTGGCGGGCGGAAAGGAGCCAGGGGCCCACGCACCCGACGCCGACGCCCCTGCCCGAGGGGAGAGCGTAACCTCTTTTCCGGTCCGGCCCACCATGGACGCGTCCGGGTGCTGCGCCTCTCCTCTGCGCGGGGGTTGCCGGGTATGAATTCGGGGAGGGACGGGACAGCGAGCGGCTCCTCCAAACCACCATAGAGATGCGGAATCCCTCCCCCCGCCCCGGGGGGATCCTAGAGAGGACTTGCGGGGGAGGAGGCCTCGGACTGAGGCTACCGCGCTGTCCCTAGTAGAACCCAGCGGTAGGCGTCACGGGTCTTGGCCTGTCGGAGTCTCAGGAATGAGGTCTTGTGTTCTGCGGGCTGTAGCCTGGGGGCTTGGAGTGCCAGAATGCCGGGAGGACTTGAAGGATCTCTACCGCTGGACTGCAGTTTGACTAGGGAGGCGTTAGGCCGGCTCTCCAGGAAGTCTTCATTGTGTTTTGTTTATTCCGCCTCATTCTCCAGGGAGAGGAACCCGTTCTCATCCCCCAACCTCAAGGTCTAGTTGATATCCTAGAAAGGCAGGATTTCCTACTGCCCCCACAGAGACCCACCACCTTTCCTGTGTTTGAGGAATAGGGAAACTGGGGAACCAATTCACAGGGTGGCGGGCAGGAAAGGCAGTGTGTAGCTCCACAGGCTGCTGGGGAGCTATGTGCTCCCTCTGCCACCTTGATTTCCCTCTCTTCCCCAGCATGAAAGACTGACGCCTGATGGAGGAAGCCCATTCTCAGCTTGAGACACATTCATCCAGGATAGATAGAGGTTAAGTTAGGGAATTTTGGATTGATGTTCTTCTGCAGATTTTAGAATTCCACTAGCGTTTTGAGTGGTTCAATTCTCAGGAGGTCTAGGGGCTGTGCGAAGCCCAAAGCCAACCCTGGGTGATCTGCTATGAGTAACTGTCATCTTAAATACTAGGAGCGAGCAGATCCTATAGCTGCTCTTGCTTGAGCAGTCCCTGACCATTCTACCTGCAGAGATCAAGTCCAGGTTGCAAAAGCAGCGCCTGGAGAGTGGAGCTGAAGCCATAATTATTTGTTACAAGGGCCCTGTGAAAGTCCTGATAGGAATAGGAGAGTGGGTGACAAGTCTAAATTTTTTAAGTGGATGTGGTTAGGATTCAGAGGCATGTGTGTGTTGCCTTTGGGTACCAACTTAACAATAGCAATCATTTTGCTATCCTAAAGAACATCCATGGAGGCATTCAACAAACAATATGTTTGCCTATTCCAGGGAATTATGTAGTTTCCTTCAATGGATTTAATTTTTTTTTTTTTTTTTGCCCACCTCCGGCATATGGGCCCGGCGCCCTACCCTTTTGAGCCACAGGCACCGCCCCTCCTTCAATGGATTTTTGATCTTGCGTTTCTAAGGCACTTTTTATTCTCACTGAACTCCTTTTCTCATGAATGAGATTTGTTTTTTAAAAACCTTTAGGGGGGTGCACCTGTGGCTCAGTGAGTAGGGCGCTAGCCCCATATACCCAAGGGTGGCGGGTTCAAATCCAGCCCAGCCAAACTGCAACAAAAAAAAGAGCTGGGCGTTGTGGTGGG